GTATCGTCTCACTATCGTCTTGAGGCTGGAATGATGAGACCAGGCAAGCAGATATCTCTGCTTTGTCTCAATGTAATGGAAATGCATTCACGCTCACAACATGGCCGACTTAACATTGCTGATAGTCCTGAGTTAACACGGCACACAAGTAGGTTTTATGGCTGATTGGTCTTTTATGGCCTCCATGGTTCTTGTCATCATTCAAGCTAATGCCATCAGTAACTACTCCTCTGGAGATAGTTGAATTAGCCTGGGTCTGCCTGCCGTGTTACTGCCCACATTTTCCATTATTGCATGACAGCTATAAGATAAGATGAATTTAAATGATCCCTGTGGGGCCGTGGGGTCAGTGCAGCAGTACAAAATGAATTATAAATAGGAAAACAATACAGTTCCTTGCTGATTGTAAATGCATATGTTGTTAATGGTGGTGATGGCGGGGGATATTAGAGATTAAAGAGGTTGTACTTTATAGATAATCAATGTGGGATAATTGCATCCTTGGTGGAGTTTAGTTTTCTTGTTGACGGTGGAAACTGAGATTCCTCACTTTATCCACATGCTGCCATATGGATAGTTTTTGTTCTGTAATCCTTTGGGGTAGGCAACAATATCAATTCACTGCATTGCAATTAATTTTCTTCCAATATAATATAGATTCTGAAAACTCTGTGAATCAATATTGCATTGGTCAGCGGCTTTGCGCCATGGTGAGCAATACTTTGGAGAAACGTTTGACTTTTCATAGTTGAGTGTACCACTTCCTACATTTCCTACACTTTTTGTCAGGGAACTCAATAGAAGTGAGTTTGATGAGCTAGTTGTTCAGCCAGCACCATTTCTTTGAACCAATGGCGGTGCAAAGAGTGGCTATGATGCAACTTCCTGCTCGCTAAATCACCTCTGTGTCACGTGAAATCCTTTGATGCGAAGCCATCTTCTTCTTGAGTTTACTGGCAAACCTTTGGTGTGCATTACCACCACCAGCTGGTGAGGAGTGAGGGTCAGAATGGCAATATTTTCCAAATATGCTTAAAAATGATAATTCAAAAATTTTATGAATTATCTTAGTAAAGGAGTAAGGAGTAAGTAAAGAAATTACTTCAATTTATAATTTTCGATTACAGCACTGTGGTTTTTTTTACTTTGTACTTCACATTGAGTGCGTCTACATCATGCCTACTTCTTTATTTTCAGATGTTGCTGCTCAAAAATGTTAATACACTGTTAAAGTAATATACTAGGCAAGAAAAATAAAAAAGTAATGTATAAAAATAATAATAGATAATCCAAAGAATTATTTGTATACTACTCAGTCATTATTGAATTATTTAAATCAACATCAAATGAAATTATGAGCCAAAGAATCGAAATTGAATTGAATTGTGAGGTTTTTAACAATACCTGTAAATAATAAAATAAACATTAATCTTAATTGGCCAAATTCAGAATCATCTATTCACACCAGAAAGAAATGCCAAAGTCTGTATCGATCAATTACAGTTTAAGTGGTGCATCTCTGATGTTTAACTTTGACCCTGTGAATATTAAAGAAACCTGTTTTTTTAACTTTCACATTATTATGTCCATTTCTCTATACCAGTATGGTTTGTTTGTTTTTGAAGAGAGCAAAACAATGATTCTAGATTAAAGGAGAAATAGTTTTTTGACCTTGATGGCTGACATTGCTTTTTAGGGCTGACTTGAGTCTGAAAAAGGCAGCCATGCATAACATCTCTGCAGGATTTGGATCTATCGCAGCTCTTCTGGATGTGACACGTCCCTGTGCTGAATCTGTCACCATAATGCTACTGTGTGTGCTAATATTATCATCCACTGTCACATGTAGGAAAGAGAAAGCAGGTTTATTTCTTCAAATGCTGACTTGCCAACAGATGTAGTGGGGTAAGGAAGAATGATGTGAAGGGATACTTTAGAGGACACTTTTACACTTTCTAGGAAACCCAACACACAAGGCTTTCCAAGCATGCCTACAGTGCAACGGGGATCGGTAACATTAGCATGATCATGTTCTAGCTACTAGACCATTTCAACAAAAAACATCAAACACAATCACACTTTTGGCAATTTTGACAGGAACTGTAAATACTGCATGACTTTGTTTATAATGTACTAGCCTTTCACAATGACTGTTGCTGTAAAAGACAAACTTTCTATTGTTGGAGAGTAAAAGGAAAACTTGAAAAACATTAGCAATTTAAATGTTGTTTTTATTTTATAGATGCACTTCCTCAATTAGGCCCAAGTCGCATTACTGTGCATCTGCCTTTTGTTTCAGTGACTTAGGAAGACATGATGTCATAGTAAACACTTCACCATCATCTAACTCTAAATGTAACACTCTAGTATAGATGGATGTCTACACATTCTATTACACACACTGTGAATATCACACATGCAACACTATGATTCAACTATCAGAGCAGTGACTCAATAATTTTACCTAAGCTCAGCCTGTGCTCTCTGGGCTGATAAGGATCCACTAAAGTTGACATACTGGGTCCTAGAGCATGAAAGGGAGACCTTGTCTCTTATTATTTGACTAACAGTACATGACCACTTGATGGCACTATTGAAATTCAGAATTTTTATTCCCATGTGATCAGTTCATTACTTTATCTTTTAAGAAAAATGTTATAAAATAAATATAGATGGCAATGTCATCACAGAAGCATCACATCCATTATGAAAATAGCAGAAAACAATTTCCACACCCTTGTTCCCAATATGCAAACTATTCAGAATGAGTGCATAGGAAGTGAATAAAGAATAGGTTGGACCGAAAAAATAATCAGAAAATTCCATTGTGCAAGAGGACAGTCACATCTTTTATTATTCAGTAGAATAGTAGTAATAAAGTTGAATAAAATAATGCCAATAAGTAAAGTTAAACCCCCATCTCCCGAAAGACTTTACAGTTTCTGTGTTGATGTTTGAAACAGAATCTGCCAGGCTGAAGCTGTCAATGGTTAATATTTAAATTGTGGTAAGACAGTCGACCCTTTCTTCTGGCTGTTTAAGTCTCCAACAGGAACAACGCTTGTCTCTGTTTAATCAGAATTTGTTTCAGGAACTGCAGTGATGTTGCTTTGTGTTGTGGAGCTTTTGTTCTGGTGATCCTCTGTTTTGAATTTCTTGGAATGAGTCTTCTTCTCACACTCTTATTAAGTATTGATGGCTCGTAGTGTGATAGGCCCTAAATGAAGACATTAGCTTTTGTTGGTTAACGTGCCGCTCCAGATGACAGCTGTTGTCACTAAGGTCATGCATGATGTGGACAAGAGCTGTGGTGACAGTGTCAGTCTGTTCTGTTCTCCTGGCATGTTTCTTTGTGTGTCTCTTGCCTCTGATTTGCACGCTCATTGGCTATAAATACTAATTATGTCTCATTTAAAAATATTCAACTGCACATTAATTTTCATTGTTGGATAGTAATTTTGTGTCCAATAATTGTCTATGCATTTGAGTAAATAATAATAATAATAATTACAAAAACAACATTTAAAAAAATGCTAGTGTCATATGCTCTGGCCACACTAATACCAATTGTCCAATATATGTGCTGTATGAGACATTCTTAGGGAAATGGAGATAATTTGTTTTGAGGTGTGTGTGTGTGTGTGTGTGTGTGTGGCCTTGCATTTAATATGTTGTACAGCCCATCTTTTCAACAAATAGCACATTGTGAGGACTCACTGCTCCTTATAGGGCCCAATACCCAGGCCCCATATGAAGAAGAGCTATTTTCATGTTAGGGTTAGGACTAAGGTGTGAATTTAATCCAGGTTTGGTTTGGAGTTAGGCAAGTACTGTTAATGGTTAGGATTAGGGTAAGGCTATAGAAATGAGTGAAAAATTAATGGAAGTCATTGCATCGTTGTTGTGAAGCTACAAAGAATTTATGTATGTGTGTGTTGGAGGTTGAGGAACACTAACACAGAGGGATCAGACAGGCGTAATCCACAGAGCTTAATATGCTGTGCAATAGTTGCTTCGACTCTTCTGCAGTGTGATTATAGGAAAGTTTCTGGCCATCACCTGGTCAGCTCCACTGACACCAGAAAAAAACACGGGCATTGTCTTAGACAAAACCACATATTCATGCCATCTTTTTAAATTACATTATAATAAAATAATCAGGATTAAGACCTTAATGAGAAAAATGAGAACTACACATTCTCCTCCAATTACTCTGCTGTCTTATGGACTTGTTTGGTGGCGCCTTCAACCAGTATGAGAGAACCTGCAACTATGACAGCAATGAATGAACCTCATCATCAGTTTTTGCTGCATGTACATGTGGCCCTATTGTTGGTTTATGTAGATTTCAGGCATATTTAAGTGTGAGAACATTTATTTGAGAAACACTTCATTGTGTCCAAAAGACTCTGGGTGATGTTAAAGAACAAACTAGTGAGCTGCAAGATGACTCCTGCTTGTGTGCTAGAGTAATTAGAAGTTCCTGCTGGGGAGCCCAGGCTTAAATATTTAATCTTAAGGGAGCCGTGGCAAACATGTCATGCCGCCTGAGTCCTTTATGTCCAATTTACAGAGTCCACCGTGCAACAGCCACTGGTAAGATGCTTTGTAATTAAAACAGATTGGGATTGTGCAGACGGTGAGTTCCTGATCATGATGGCCTTGTTGGAAGCTCTCTGCAGCATTAATGTGTGATGGTAATCCATGGGTTTACAGATGTGTGTCAGTGATAAGGCGGAGACGTGTGAATGTTTGGGAACAGCGGCAGCCACGTATTCTGCAGAGCTGACGGCTGACTGAAGCTGTTTTGTTCAGATACAGGAGAGATACAGATAAAAGGCTCCCATTCTAACAGAAAAGTAGCAGAAAGACAGACCCAGACTGACACAGGATGTGGAAGACAGACTTGCAGTCAGGTTAATTGCTATTTACTATTGACATTGATTATGTTCATCCTTACCCTGCTTTTTGTCTTCTTCTCCACATCCCCATTTTGACAGATATGTGTCACAAAGATGTCCACACGCGGCTGCCAGGGAACAGACTCGGTCATCAAGCCCCTGGACACCATCCCTGAGGACAAGAAGGTGAGAGTTCAGCGCACGCAGAGCGGCTTCGACCCGTTTGAGAAGCCTGCCAGCCAGGTGAAGAGGGTCCACTCGGAAAACAATGCCTGCATTACCGCCAAGAGCTCGTCTACTGGGAAAGAGTCGCCCAAACTGCGCAGGCACTCCAGCCCAAGTTCTGTAAGTGTACTTCTGCTTTGGTGTTATTAATGACCAGATATAGTTATGGGTTATTTGTTGTTAGAAATGCTGTATTACCACTAAGTGAATGACCATAAAACGAAAAGTATGCTTTACTTATTTAAAGAGAAATATGTGAAACAGTATGTTTCACATATTTATGCTGTTGCTTCTCAGATGTGTTGAAACCCTGATGGGTCTTAAACCATTTCCAAAGAAATACCTTGAAACTTCACAGGTAGTATTCAGTTCAAAAATACTTAACTTATCCCAAAGGGAAATTAAATGTCATCCCTCTTACTTTCCTATTATCTTCAAAGAATTGTTGAGGATGGTGATGCTGTGGGCAGGAAGAAACTGTGGTACTGAGTAATATAGTTACACATCTGAAGAAGACTCTGACAAAGGGCTGCTGTTAAGTTGCTCAGTATCTGGGCAGCAGAGGCAATATTCCACAGTATCATTTCCTGGATGACACCATCAATCATTAGGATTGTTGGTGGACCACAGTTTGCTTTTTTTTTTTTTTCACATCAGAATTCGATTGAGCATTAACACTTCCCCAAACCAACTGAACTTTCTGAGCAAACAAACCAAAATTTGATTAAAGTGGAATAAAGAGGGCTGGTGTGAATGCACCATAAGTATGCTGCTCTGTTTTTAGAAACAGAGCAGCTCTTCCTAACAAACAACCCACGTTTTGTTTTTCCTAATTGTCCTGTCATGAACTTTCACATTTACCACACTGAGACCTGTAGAGTCTGATATTGTTCTACTTTTGTACTTTAGTTCATGTTTAAATAACTCTACAACTCAATAAATACCCGATCATTTTTATTGTTCTGAAAAATGAACCACTCGAGTCCAGGTTGCACTTAGTTTTGTATCTATTTTGAATGTGGACCTCAATAGAAGAAGGCTGAATGGCCATATAACAAAAGACTGGTTCTGTCTTACCTGCATTGAAACATATTTTTAGCCTTGGTGAATAATTTATTTTGCCCCCCATTTGTTTTACAAAGTGAGCACTCTGCACCATGCTTCCTTAAATAAAATGAAACACCAAACTGATCTTCTTTCAATTCAACCCCTGCAAATAAAAACTCGTAATGTAGCAGAGTGACTCTACACTGTAAAAAAAAAAAAAAACGGCCTCAATTTACGGTAAAAAACTGGCAGCCGTGGTTGCCAGAATTTTACCGTCTTCATACGGTAAAATTCTGGCAACCAAAACTGCCAGTTTTTTACCATATTTTCAAAATACGGTAAAATATTGGCAACCGAAACTGTCAGTTTTTTACCGTATTCTGAAAACACGGTAAAATTCTGGCAACCAAAACTGCCAGTTTTTTACTGTATTTTGAAATTGCAGTATTTTACCGTATTTTAAAAATACGGTAAAATACTGGCAACCAAAACTGCTAGTTTTTTTTTTTCCCGTATTTTTAAAATGCAGTATTTTACCGTTTTCTAAGAATGCGGTAAAATTCTGGCAACCAAAACTGCCATTATTTTACCGTATTTTGGAAATGCAGTACTTTACCGTTTTTTAAGAATGCGGTAAAATTCTGGCAACCAAAACTGCCAGTATTTTACCGTATTTTTAAGATACGGTAAAATACCGTATTTCCTAAAATATAGTAAAATAAAAAAATTAAAATGTGCTTTTGCCGTAGTATACGGTCATACTGCCTGAGGCATAATATCTACATAAGTGAAAAACACAGCCAGACTGTATGATATATTGACATTTTATTGTAAAAAAAAAAAACAACCCAAAAACCTTTTGGTAAATTACTGGTCACTGTTCTTACCAGAATTTTACCATAAAAATTATAGTACAACACACAAGGAAGTGTAAATTGTCAGCATTTCTATACAGAAAGTTATAAAGAAAATGTATTCAAATTAAACAAAAAATACAGATTACGAGTAATCCACTTAAAGAAACAATTTCTATTTAAAAGTTCAAATAAATAAAGAACCAATTCTATTTTCTGTCCAGTTTCCTCACGGTATTACTGAGATCTGGAAAACAAAACAAACAACAACAAAAAACAGCATGTGTCCACATAAGAGATAACCTATTGTAGAAGAAAAACCGGTGATAAAACGATTCTTGTTCTGGGTTGAGAGTCACTGAGTTCAGACTTCGCTCAGGATGGTTGGAGTCTTCAGTCACAGGTTGAAATTGAGACTCACATGTTGTCAACCGAGTGTTTCCTCTCTGCTGGAAAACAAACAAAGCAAAAGTTAGAAAGATGCACTACATGAACATCATATAAATGCACCATTCGCTTAAATGTTTGTTTCACCTTTGTTGACTTGCATATGGAGACTGGTGGAGACAACCAGGCGGTGTGATCATTTCTGACTGAAAAGTCAGTAGTTCTTAAACCTTTGTTTGTTGTCGACAGGTGTTTATACAAAGCTCCGTCTTGGAGCAGCAATCCTTTTCTTCTTTTTTCAAATGTATGTCCCCAAACAGAGAGAACCCTTGTAACATGTTAAACAATCTTATGTCCAACTTTCAATACACAAATAGACTTTAAAAGTTACAAATATAACTGTTTTAGGCAATTTATGAAATAGATACTCACCATTTATCTGGGTCTCATGAAGGCCGATAAGTTGTCTTCAACCATTTATATGAGTTACAATTCCTCCGAGCTAGCAGAAACAAAGCTGTAAATGTGTACACTTTTCATACAGGCAAACAAATAGATAGACCTGAGACAATTTATGCTATGTTAGATTTTCTCAGTCACTTTTGGTGCATTTCTCAAGTCATTGCTGGCATTTACAAAACAGGAAACGCATTTTTTAAAACAATTTGTAGAAACAGCAAAAATAGCATTTGTTTGCTTGAAAAATCCTTAGTTCAGCTCTCAAAATTCTGTCAGTTAACATATCAGTGACTCAAAATAATAAGTTATAGTTTCTCTATGTACAGATAAGACGGTCAAATTGATTAGTCATGGGAAGAGGCTACAAAATTCACATTTACGCTTTACCTGTGATGCAGAGATGTTTCCTTCTCCTCCTCCTGAACGCGCAAAAATAGCAGAAACTTGATTTCAAAGACAGGAGCCGCATCCTGACAAGGACAAGGCCTACTGGGCTCTCAGCACCATGAGCTAGCACCTGCTAGTTAGCAGCTTTAGCTAGCGCACTGTGACTTTACTGTGTTGAGTTCAGGACACCACAGTATCCTGAGCCACGCTCAACTACAGGAACAGAGTTCATAAAAGAATCTTGCTGCTGATGCTGAAGGATCAAGCAGCAATACAAACTATATAATTATTTGTTTACATGACAAATTACAGTCTCCATTTACTGTAAACCCTGCTATTTATCACAATAACAAAATGAAAAACTCTCTGGACTATTCTCTACTAATAGCACAATATTTAAAACCAAGTGTGGGATTTGTGAAACTTCAATGAAGGGCAACTTCACAACTTGTATGATTTTGGATAACACTAGAATTGTTCTTTATTGAAGTTTCACAAATCAGATAAAGGTTTTACAAATCCCACACTTGGTTTTAAATATTCTGATATGACCTGAGAATATTCTAGTCCAGATTTGAAGATTCTAGGTGTTGTAGTTTTTTAGCTAGAGTAACTTAAAGATGCTGATTGTAGTGAAAAATTAGGTGGAATTGCCCTTTAGCCATTTTCCAAACTGGAAGCAGCAATTGGAAACCAACTTCAGCTTCATCCAAGCAAGAGGGGCTAACATACAGTTCTCTTAATGTATAAGACATCTATGGTCGGCATAAAATTAATCTCAAATGCATCATTTAATCAAATACTCTCATAAATGTTGGTGGTGTTGGCTGTAGGAGTTTGCTTTGCAATCAGTGGGTCGCCAGATCGATGCCTGGTCTACTGTTGAGATTTCAGTTTGGTGTGTTAAAGGCATTATTAAAAAAGAAACCAAAATATCACACCAGCATTCTGTTCTTTGTAAAAATTACTTTTGCAGTCTCGTTTACGGTTTTACATTGTAGATATAAATATCAGCAAAATTTGTAATTTTGGCTGATTAGTACTGTTAAATTTAGGATAATTAACTGCTGGCAATATAACAATATTTTTCTATGAACTTTACAATTACTTATATTTTTACAATATATTTCTGTATTTTCTACATTCATGACTGTCAAAATTACTATTGAGTTATGATAATTCCACATATTTTCTACGGTAGTATAATGCTTTGGATATTACAGTCAGTAACTGTTGGTATTTTAACATTTTTTACCATAGATTTACGGATTTTTTTTTGCAGTGTCGACTTACTGTAATTCCATGTATTTTCTACGGTAACAAAATGGTTTGATATTACGGTCAGTAACCGTTGGTATTTCACAATTTTCTTACCGTAAATTTACATAGAGTTTTTTTTGCAGTGTTGACTTACGGTAATTCCATGTATTTTCTACAGTAACAAAATGTTTTGGATATTACGGTCAGTAACTGTTGGTATTTCACAATTTTCTACCGTAAATTTACTGACTTTTTTTGCAGTTTTGACTTACGGTAGTTCCATGTAATTTGTACGGTAATAAAATGTTTTTGGATATG